CACACACACACACACACACACACACACACACACACACACACACACACACACACACACACACACAAACACAAATGCATGCATGCACTCACACAAAGCCCATACATAACACATTCTGGCAGAGCTGCATTCAACAACATGCACACCGGTCCGGTCTCTGCCTCCCCTCCAGCTCCACTCCAGGGAGCAGATGTTTGGGGACAGCTTACAGCCTCAGCGAATTTCTGTGTACACAGCAAACAGCAGCACTCAGCACTTCTGGCTGCAAAGGGAAATTTGCTCTTGAGGGGGGTTGGGGCAGGGTGGGAGGATATGTTGGGGTGGGGCCTTTGAGTCAGAGGAAGGTGTCATGAGGATGAGAGGAGAGGAGTAGGGAGGGAGTGGGGGCGAATAGAATGAGAAGGAGGGTGCACGCAGAGGTGAAACTGTGTCAAGGTTGTAAGTGCCATGGCATTGGAAGGAGATCTACATTTCCTGAAAGCTCAGCTGTTGTGTGAYGGAGTGGCGCACCGGGTGGTGCAGCAGAGCATCATGTCCAGCACAAACGGCGCCACACTACGAAGCTTCAGGAAGCTCAAAGACGTGGCCCCGGCTACGTATCTGCACGACCTCTGCTGTGTAGCTTTGTCTTCTGACTGGTTCGGATTGACCTTTGAAATGTTGCAGACAAGCACGATTTGGATGGAGAGAGAAAAAAAACAAAGGTGAAACAATGCAATAATCCACCTTTCTAAGTTTGCTGACATTGCAGCTGAGATCAGACCAAGCAACACTTTAATGGCGCTGGCCTTATGGAGCCGTGGACCCTCATCAAAATATTCCATGCATGAAAACATCCATCTTTTCTCCTTATGTTGTTCACAGTACAGCTTTTGCACATTTGCGCGACAATATGCCTCACACAGAGTTATGTAAATAGGCTGAAATGAACACATACGGTCTTATTTCCAACATGTGCGCAAGAACACACATTTTGACCCCTCATCACTGTATTATGAGCCCTAAACAAACTGCCGTAAATGAGCCCTGCGATGCTTATTTGTCTGAAAGAAGGCAACCCCCTACTCCTCTGCCCCTGGGGTGAGGTTGCCATAGTGACAGATTCACAGACATACGGAGTGGAAAAGGAGAAGGGGAGCTGCTCTAAAGGGGAGGGGCTAAAGGGGTGGGCCGGTGGGAGTGGGGGCTGCAGATGAGCAGGGTACCAGTAWGGTGTATTTTTTAGATGTAGCTTTTTTTTAATTTATCTGTCGATCATTCGCACAGGACAGTCAGTTCGTGAACTTTTCTCAGTCAAGTCTTCTTGAGGCGCCATCTTGGCTCCCTTTCCTGAGGAAATTAATTGATTTTCTAACAGACTTCAGCTCTGAAATCATACATGTGCCTTACAAATTATTAAATAAATTCATAAAGCTGTACTGATATTTTACAGGTTGGCTGTATACAGTGATTTGTCAAGATCAAGACTTGAAGTACCTCAGTGTAACTCACTCATCAGATTCACTTGTCAACTTTTCAGTCAAACTGATAATTACCAGGTAAAATTGTGAGGGGAAAATAAATAGAGGATGGAAAATGAAAAGAAAAGAGGCATGTTAGATTTAAGTTTGTCCGCACTTTTATAAAAACACTTATTTTCCCATCAGCTTCTATTTTTTGCAAAGACCAGGTTCTCAATTGAGCCTCACGCCTACAGTTTTATTTTTATTTTCACCCCTCTGCTCGTCTGCTCAAACCTTCTWTGTGCTTTCCATCTACTACCAAACCACCTTTCTCCTTCTTGTMTCCTCTCCACGTGTCATCCGTCTTCCCCTCTGCCTGCTCTCCAACTGATATGAGGGAGTGACCCCTGGGCCCTCAGGGGTCAAGTGATACAAGGTCATTGGCGGGTCATCTCTGCTGACTGGCCCGCCTCAAAAAAGGAACTTCAGGAAGTGGCCAATCAGATCTTGCTTCCCGCCCTCCACCCTAAGGCGACCCCCCCACTTCCCTAGCTCATCAGCAGTCCATGTCACATGACCAGGGTGAGGCGTCAGAGGGAGGATGATTAATGATGCTTTTAGTACCTGTTTAGAATGAAGCTGTCCACACCACGCTGTAATTACCCGCTCCCAGGCGGCAGCTGCCCAACATAATTGCTTTTTGTTTGTTGACCTGGTTTATTGAGGAGAAGATGGCTTTGGTTAGCCGAGGCAGAGCCACGTACAGTATACAGAGGTGAGGCTATGTCAGAAATTCAGGTGGCAGAGTGAGGTTAAAATTGATTGAATTTACACAACAAATACGCACACCCACACTGAAGCGACGCTGAGGAACCTCGTGTGTACCGCAATAGAAAGCGCAATCATGTCAGGTTGCTACATCGTCTCTGATACAAGCCTCCTGCAAAAGGTCAAAGACAGCCACAGACCTTTTGTGCAAGGTTGCGCGTTACACCGAAGCGCGCACGTGTTTGACATGCACAGTCAAAGGCAGCATGTTCTGCCATGCACATTCTGTGTAGCTATGAAAATTCAAAACAAAGTTCAGAAGGTCAGCACCAGAGATCCCAGCMCCTCCCTCTCCGCCCCCACGGGTTGGCTGCGCGCCTAAAGCAAATATGAAAATTGCAGTACCTGTGGCTCAGCGCCACGAGGACAGTGACAATGAAACTCAGATAAACAGCCCCTCGTTTGACCTATGGGGAGCATAAATTTGCCGCCCATAAATTCTCGAGTGTTTCAGCTCTGTTTGGCGCATCCGTCGTGCCTCTCCACCAAGACTGAGAGGGGCGAGTGTTGGATATCAGTGTTTCTGTATGAGCAGCTTTCATCCAGCTCCAGGTTCTCACATAACTCAGTCCTGCAGCCTTTATCACCGCCTCATAAATAACTTGGCTATCGCCTGATAATGTCCGCTTAATGCTTAGTCAATAAAGCCCACAGTAAGAGGGGCCTTTTTTTAAGCCTCTCTCTTGTACATAAATATAAACATTGGAATAGATTGATGTGATGGGCAGGCTCTTTTCACAGGGGGACAAAAAGAGCAGAGTGTGGGCCCAGGAGCTGAAGGTGGGCTGCAGGGCTGCAGGTGTTTAGACGAGATAGTGGGCCGTAATGACGGGGTTGTGAGAGAAAGGCTGAGTGGATAGC